TTTTTATTATTGCGTCTTTTAAATAAAAAATCGTCAGTCGACTATCACTATCGGCTATCATGAAATATTATTTGAAATCGATACATATGAAATAAACGAATATTTAAAACAAACAACAACATAAGTATTAAGTTGACAATTTATACTTGGTTTCACTATACTAAACATTTCCCATGTCCCATAGATAAAAAGTCACAAAATGTATAAATAAATAATTTATATTTTATTAAGCATAATACGCTGAAATTTATATCTGAATTCTTTAACTTCAAGCCGTTTCTTTAACTGCATCTGAGCTATCTGTGTACATTTCCAAAACGTGTACTTGAAAATATCCAAAGCCTACACATTCTACATAATTCACAGATGCAAGCCTTCAGATCAACCCCGTCCCTCCGAAGTAGCCTCATCTTTGTTTTTTCAAGCCGCTCGTTGAATCGCGGCCTCAGCATTTGATTTTTGGCCCTCACTCGTTAGCGATTGAAATGAAGTCTTCTTTCTGCCTGTAGCCTCTACTTGAATCTGTTCTCAGCCTCTGTTGCGTTGATATTGCTCTACTACTCGTCATCTTTTTTAGCACTCTTTTTGGCTTTAGCTGCTTTTGCACACTTTTTCTTAAGAGCTTCTTCCTTCTTCTTTTTGGCCAGCTTTGCACACTTCTTTTTCAGCTCATCTTTCTTTCCCTTCTTTCCTTTCTTTCCTTTCTTTCCATTCTTTCCATTCTTACCCTTTCCATTCTTTCCCTTCTTTCCCTTCTTTCCTTTCTTAGCTAACTTTGCACATTTCTTCTTTTCAGCAGCTTCTTTCTCCTTCTTGGCCAAGGCTGCACATTTCTTCTTTTCAGCGGCTTCTTTCTCCTTTTTAGCTAAAGCCGCACACTTTTTCTTTTCTGCAGCCTCTTTTTCTTTTTTGGCTGCTTCTGCACACTTTTTTTTCAGGGCTGCCTCTGCGCACTTTTTCTTCAAGTCCGCATCTTTGTCCTTACCACTTTTCTTAGCATATGAAACCCGTTGGATGGTATTAAATGTGACCCGGGGTAGAAATTTATATCCCAATGAGCCAGTTAGGGTAGAAACAGTTCTGAGCATCGCCGGCCGCGGCAAAGCGCAAACAAGACGGCCGAGAAAGTTCATATTGAATTCAACTCAATAAAAAAAAATAAAAATAAAAATTTTGTTTATTTAAAAAAGTATTTAATTTTGACTAAAATTTTGAATTTTTAAAAGCCAAAATTGAACTGAGCCGAACGAGTGAGTGAGTTAGACTGACGAAATAGAAACATCTCCATCAGTACCTACAAATTTCGACCAAACTCTGTATACTTTGATTTCTTAAAATCATGCGGCTTACCTTATACCTTGTGAATTCAAAATGGGTTTACTAAGTTACTACTAAATTGGGAGGACTCGACATTATTATACGCAAATGCACTATATTTTCGTAAAAATAACCATAATAACTCTTATGCTAGTTACAGTTTAATTTATTGAAATATTTATTTGTTCAGAGTAAAGTTTTCGTGTTTTCATATGGAATAGCATATAACCATTTCATTTTCAGTGGATTCAACATTTATTTATTTTTTACTTTTAATCGTACTTTGTTGCTACGGATTCCCGGCCAAAACGCTGATAGATTAATTTTCATTTGGCATGCAAGTGGGAAATTATGAAATGCTTGCTATCGGATCATCTTTTAGTCTGTCCCTATGATCCCGAACCATTTTGACGCTAGTGAAGATAGAGATTTGAGATTTTAGATGTAGACTCGTTATATATCATTCCAGTATGTTCCCACCTCGCACATTCAATTCCAGTGAATAATCGTATTATCTTTCTC